GGTTGTTGGTCAAATCAATTCTCCTTTTCCGGTGGATGGTGAAGTCGGATCTTTTAGTTGTAACTTTTATTTTCTCTTTGGAGTAACAAGAAGAACAACAAATCTATTATATTAGACTACATTATTGCGGGGTTAGCGATCTGGAAGGATTCACTACTTCTTTTTCGTTCTATGTCTCATTCCATGATATCATTAGACTATTCATTCTCTTGTATCTTTGTTATCATTTATTAATAAATTTGTTATTTGTTTTTCAAAAATAAAAAACAATTAACAATATTTTAAATGAATACAATACATATTTTAAATGAGTATACAATAAACAATAGTCATGGGTACAGAAAAGATCAGGTCCCTCCGGAGGGACGGGAGGGACCGTCCGAACTTTACTGTTTGGGGCAGTTCCCGGTGGAATTTTTTGATGAAATTTTTTGAGCATGTTCCTCATCAAGTCTAGTTTGTCCATACCAAATTTCAGCTCAAAATTCGACCGGGAAGGCAGTCAAATAAATTCTTGAAGCTTACTGCACATTCTGCGCATATATAAAGTGCAGTAAGTTTCAAGAATTTATTTGACTGCCTTCCCGGTCGAATTTTGAGCTGAAATTTGGTACGGACAAACTAGACTTGATGAGGAACATGCTCAAAAAATTTCATCAAAAAATTCCACCGGGAACCGCCCCAAACAGTAAAGTTCGGACGGTCCCTCCCGTCCCTCCGGAGGGACCTGAGCAGTCCTCGTCATGGGTATATCTTATAAGTCGTGCTTGGTGTACACATTTTGGTGTACACTTGTCTGGCTTACGCATATAAGTACACAACTTTAGCATTCATATCTTCTACATACAATACACTTCATGATATGAGTTAAATTAGGATGTTTTTATTTGAACTAAAATTTTCTACCCTGATCTGGTGTGATAAAGAACTGTTGTATGGTTTGAAGTAAAAAAGCATCCGCTGCTAACATCGGCTCTTTCAAATTTTTGGGGTTTTCCTGGCAGTAGATTTTCCAGACTTCATAACACCGTTGGAAATGGCGTCTTCTTTAGTCCGGTCGACACGTTACACTCTTGTAAAAAGGTTCATCCTTTTTCAGCGGGGCGCCTCCGCACAAGCGGCGTCTTCCTCGTTTTCATCTACCGGTACTAGCAACATCCAAAGAGAAAAGGACGTTAATGCCTACGCAGATGAAGACTCCGTCCCGACCTCCGGAATCAGCCGTCCGCTCTCCGAAATACTGAAAGAACTCAACAAGAAAGTTCCAGACTCCCTTATCAGAGTTCGTACTGAAGCTGACGGTTTCCCTATTAAATACATTCCCTGGTTAGTCAGCTCCTCTTGTGTATGTGCTTTTAAGCATATGGACTTATTAGGTAAATTCCTAAGTCTATGCTTTGTTAAATTTGATCTCCACTATTTTGGGTAGAATCTGAACTGCTTTGCTGGGGAAATATACTTGCAACCATATACTTGAAAAGTTGTAAGTTGTAATTGTGAGACCTTAACTCAATGACGATATTTTGTGGTTGATTCCTGAATATACATTAGCTATGCTAACTTCATTTGGTGGCTGTTATGCTTTTTCCAAATGTGGTTTGATCTTTCAAATTCTACAAAAACAATCAAACTGTATCAGTTATTCATATGAAGATATTCAAAGATCATCCTTTACTTACTGTCCTGGTGGTTATGGTAGAGCATAAAAAGTTCTTTAGGAACAGCCCTTCATGGTACGTTTTTCTATTTTCTGCTTTGGTATTTTGGTAGTGTACAGAATCAATGGATATGCTCTAAATAAACTAAAAGCTTAGGGTTATGCTTCCTTAGGCTTGTCCTCATTGGGAAAATAAAATGGAGCACCTAACAAGCAACAACACATCTTCACCGACCAAGAACTACGAGATCAACCCCTTCTTTCTGGGGTGATAGACTGACAGGTGGATCATATTTTCCTAAACCCCCCTTTCCAAAAGGAAGAGTGAACTCCATTTTCCTTTCCGCAGGGACACAAAGATTTGATCTAGCCATAAGAAGAATGCTTGGTATATTGGTCTAAACAACTCACTTCTGGTCTTCGACCCTCTCTCAGTCACTACATAAGTGCAATGGGATGTGTCTACTTGTCTATCTCTTTTCGCTAGAAAGTTTATGATATCCAATGGTGTAGATCCAATTACCTCAATTTCAGTTGGTTCAGTTTTTCATCAGTACAGTTTTAGATATTGCAAAACCAAGAAATGAAGCGTGTAATTTATGTCGGTTTCGGGTTGGTTATTATCTGTCAGTTTTGTGTTGGTATTTGCAAATTTAGGACATTTTTTCCTGTTGCGGCCGATTCCATTGATTTTTATAACATAAACCTTAGACTGTAAAATCAAAATGCTTTTGGTTTTGTTGGTTTTAGTTGGTTTGTATGTTAGTTTCAGTTTTTTTCTTCAGCCCTAGCCCCTAGGTTAGTTAGCAGACATGACAAGTTGAAAGATCAATGTTGCAGGAAATATAAACACTAGTAGACTATCAGCATATAAGTATATTGTCTTATGTGCATATTTTCCTTTTTATATGCGAGAGTAGACAAATTCGGAGGATATAGCTCATTTTATATGCGAGTCTGCGCATATTTTTATCTATTAGTTGATATACTTTGTGCAACCAACTTATTTGTCATGAGCAACAAAAAAGGCATCAAGATTTGCCCTTAATCTCATGTTCATTCTCAAAATTCTTCAGGCATGTTATTAATAGGATCATGAACTTACATGCTCCAGGTATGATCAGGTCACCTGTGGTTCTATGATTTTTTGTATTATTTTCTATTTGTGCAGCATAACTGTTTTTTAATTTTTTTTATCTGAATCCTTTTTCATCTGCAGAATGGTCTGGTGAGGTTAGAAGCATGACTTATTCGGCTGATGGAAATTCAGTGTCAGTTGTCTACAGAGTTACGCTTTATGGGACTGACGCTGAGGTATCATTTCACTTGGCAAGTAGTTCCCACATAAGAGAGCAAGTAGTTCATACATGGACTGTTGGATCACTCACTCTCACATTTGTGGGTGAGGTTTAGAGTGCATTTAAAAGGTCCCCATGTTCATACGGGCACTACCTGCCTGTGTAGGTAGAACTGGAAGAACCATTTCTTTTTTTATTATTATTATTATTTAGTCAACCAGCAAGCTAGCCTCTTCTTTTTTTAACAATGCACTAAGCTATTCAGCCAGATCTTCAACCAAACAGGCAATCATTTGAGTTTAATAGTTGAATCTGAAGATTTTTTTGGAAGCAGTTGAATTTGAAGAGAATCAGAAAAAGTAATGCAACACTTATTCCTTTTAGTTGAAATGGTTTAAATGAAAATAAATGGTCTTTCTGCCCTCTTATTTTATTTATGATTTCATTTATTTTATTTTTAAAATCACAATACTTTTTTAGATCATTTATCAAACTCATTGGGTTCAGTCACTTTGGCCAAATGGGACGGATGTAAGGCTCAACAAACAGGCTCATTTATGAAAGTTTTGTTATATTTTCTTTCCTAAGCAACCAGATTTTCTGCAAAATGACCAACTTATTTGACTGCTTACACTGAAATGGCTTAGATTAAGATAAATGGCTCTTCTGCACCCATAATTTAGGTATTATTTAATGTATTATTGTAAAAAAAACATACAACCTCCGTCCCGGCTTAATCTTCTCATTGAAAAATGACACAGTTATTTAGACATAATTAAATAAGGTAACTCGAGTATATTTTGAGAAGTAGTTTTGATGGGTATATAGCATAATGAGGTCATTGATGACAACTGTGATGTCGGAAGTGTATTGTTTTTAATATTTGATGATTAATTTGTTCTTTATGACTGTTAATTATTTCCTAAAATAGAAATGAGAAGCTTTAGTTGGGACGTCCAATAGAGACAAGTGAGAAGCTTAAGCTGGGACGGAGGGACTACATTTTTATAAAATTCATCAAACTTCACCTCAACAAACATAGGCTGAGCAAGGGTTGATAAATGAAAGTTTTTGTTATTTTCTATTTCCTTAGATAGTCAGTCGTCCTGCTCATGCTTGAACCAATGCAAATTTCATATTTCCAAACAAGTTTTAGCAAAAGTGCGACTCACAACATACCAGATTTTGACGAGTTTCATTTTGCTGCATCGGATAACTGACAAACATGTCTTCTCTTCTCGTGTTGTGTTAACTAGATATTCCGGGAATCAACAGGCACGGTTTCAATAGGAGAACCCAGTTTTGGTGATGCTGTGCAGAAGGCAGAGGCAATGGCTTTCCGTCGTGCATGTGCTCGTTTTGGTCTCGGCCTTCACCTCTATCATGAAGAAATGGCCTAGTCGAACAAAAAAGTCTTGCACGTTTGTGTGTGTTAGGGTGGAACATGTCTATCCGGCTAGGATGACAGGTCATGTATAATTGCATTGAAACCGTACTGTTGTCGTGTGAACTTGTTAATATTTTACATTTTGATGGCAGTTCATGGCCTGGTGGCTCTTTTGGCATAGCTCACGTTGGTTGTGTTTGCACTTTGCACATTATAGACCTTTGATCAGTTTTTTGAAAATGTTGTAAAAAGCGTCATCTGTCAGTTAGGTGTCAAGATTAGTCGGTATTAAGTGATCCAATTGGAATTAAGTGGGATCTTAGTTGGAAATGTTATAAGTAGGGGTGGGCGGAATTGTTCGGGTCAACTGACCCAACCCGACCCTGAACTGAAAAATTGAGGTTTTGTTTGGTTTCGGTTATCCAATCGAAACCGTTTGGTATTATTTAGGCTTGGACTCGGGCCGGGCCAGGCCGGGTCTGGGTCAGGCCTAGGCCCAGCGGGCTTTTGAAGGTTGGGGTGAAGACCCGGGATTGGCCCGGATTACCACCGGTTCCGGGCCGGGTCGGGTCCGGTCCGCATTCGGGCTGTGTGACCTGTGTCCGGTTCTATTTTGTTTTGTTTTGTTTTGTTCTTTTATTTATTATTTCATCCCCTACCCCCACCCCAAACCCATCGGAAACACCCAGCCCATCTAAACCCAGCCCAAACAAAAAAAGATAAAAAAATAAAATAAAATAAAATGGCTCGAACCGGGCCCGGAACTGGCCGGGCCGGTTCACCTTTCCCTAAGCCCATACCTGCGCCTGGATACCCCAAAAACTGGGTCATGACCCGGAACCGGTACCCGGTTTCCCAGGCCGGGCCCAAACAGTACCGGGCCGGTTCCCAGGCCAGGTGGCCCGAACCGGGTCCAAGCCTAGTATTATTTCTAGCAACCCAAATGGCCTGGTTTGATGCGGTTGTAAACAGAACAACAGTTCCAACTAAATGGTTTGGCTGGTGCCTGGGAAAGTAAAAAATATACAGTAACATAAAAAAAACTTCTTTTATATACAGCAACTTAAGTAAGTACACAAGCACAAAACTTAATTGCAGAGATGCAAACTAGTGAACTACTCGTCTCTCAATTCTTTTTGTAATTGCCGATTGTGGAGACCTAATCGGTTCATCTCTTCAAAGATGAAAATAATTCACTACTTACAAAGTTACAAATCACAAATTTCAAATGCTATAATTTCTATTGGCTATAAAGAGTCTTGAAGAAATGCATGTTTGGGTAGTCATAATGTTGGATGTTTGGTGGTTTAATTTTTGAGTTTACTATAAGCGCTTTTCGGTTAAAAAAATGATAGAATGAGGTTAAGTTTAGATCATCATCTTCGATCATATGATCATTAAACAACACTCATGTTAAACTTGTCATTATTATGAAGATTTACGAAAAAAATGTTTGGCTACTACGTTTATTATTGTTTGTGTAAGAGTTTATACTAAAAAACGTTAGGTTATGACTTATGAGAAACCTTAATTTTGATATGTCTTTTTAAAAAAAATGCAAGAAAGCAAGTTCTCACTCCGTCCTTTAAAACATAATCAAGTTTAATTGGCACGGTAATAATAATATACGAAGTATAATTTGTGTGCCTGAGGTTAATAAAGAAGATAGAATTAACAAATAGGATGAAACGGACTCTTACTTTCCGGGAGAGTACTACGTAATACTCCGTACTATAACACTTTTCCCAATGATGAAATCTTTTAATTAGACCTGCCCCTATTGAGGCGCAATTAAAATTAAGAAAGAAAGAAGAGGGTGTGAGGAGTGCAAATAAAGAAAGGGTAAGGATGTGTGAGAAATAAGCTTAGCTAGTTCCTTGGAACCCTTTATTATTTATGTGTGTTTGGGTGTCTCTTAATCTTTCTCGCTATATATATATTTTGTGGATCAGAAACTGGCGTGGGTTGAACCTACATAATCTGATCTGGCAGGGGAGAAAGATAAGAAGAGGCGGGGCGGAGTGGTTGGTTTAGTTGATCGAAGAGAGAGCTAGCTTAGTAGTAGTGCATGTACGTACGTACTTTGATCATTCAATTCATATCCCAGCGATCGATCGAATTGAAGAATAGGAAGGTAGCTAGCCTGGTAAAAAAGAGAGAAAGATCGAATGAGTTCAGCAGCAGCAGCAGCGATGAAGATGGGGGCGGGGCAGTTTGGGGACACGACGTACACGAAGGTATTTGTGGGGGGGCTGGCCTGGGAAACTCACAAGGAAACCATGGAGAAGTACTTCCAGCAGTTCGGTGACATCTTGGAAGCTGTTGTCATCTCCGACAAGGCCACCGGCAGATCCAAGGGCTATGGCTTTGTATGTACATACCTACCTTTTTTATTAATTATTTCCTTTCATCACACCAAATTTTTCATCACCAAAACATACTATTTTTATTTCAGGTGTATTTTTTCAACGTAAATAAGACCTATGGATTACTTAATTTTTTCAACAAATTTTATACACATTCTTCTATGTTCATACACAATTGTTGTCTTTTCCTAAATGAGCCGACTATTATGTATACATTGGTAGAGGTATACACATTTTGTGTATATTTTACAATCAGCCGACTAGATATATATAGACAATTACTGTTTTTTCTAAACCGTTCCTGTGTACATGAGGGTGTGTCAAGTTTTTCTACCCAATTCAACATCTTTCAAAAGGCAAGCTAGCTTGCGCCGGGGCAAATGTATGTGGGTCGGTATTACTTTGAAAAATAAATGAAACTCCTGCGTACGTACAAAAATCGGCAATTAGCTTTTAAAACAGCTGGCGGACTAGTATATATGTACGTAGTAGTAGTTGTTGTAGCTCATCTTTTTTATTCCAAAGCTAGCTGTATCGCCGGTCGGATTCGTCAATTCGTATCGCTTACCAAGTATTATCCCAATCATCTGACTTTCCCAAATTTGAGTTATATACTACGTATGTAGTAAGAAATCATCATCATTTTCATCATTTACCCGTGGCTCCCACCTACGGTTATTAAATTACGATTTTTTTATATCGAAATTTTGGATTATATACGTAGCAAGAAATAAATAAAATAAAAAGTAAAAATTACGTGATTATTAAATTACAAAAATTTTCTAGGGAATTGCGATGTACTCCCTCCGTCCCATTATAGTTGACCTACTTTCCTTTTTGGGTTGTCCCAAAATGAATGTCTTGTTTCCCTTTTTGACATGAAATATGTGGTCTTAATCATTTACTTTATTCTACTCAAATCTCAATCACAATCATTTATTTTTCAACCACTTTATTAATAACCGTGTTCAATTGAAAGTGGACAACCATTATGGGACGGAGGTAGTATTATTAAGATGGAGAGAGTATTGAATTACTTAAAGATGTATTATTTTGAATATAGTTAAGGAATTGCTCATTTGCTCCAAATAAGAATGATACGTGGATAGTGTAAAAACTGTGTAAGTATATGTTTCCCCCCTCAAATTAGGAGTATATGATTATATTAAAAGCATATAAAGATACTCAAATTGAATATTATTGAGAGTCTTGTTGTTGTTGTTATTATTATTACTTGTGTGTGTATATGTAAAATGGTGAGTGAATTAGTTAAGAATTAGTTTTGGGTAAAAAACAAATGGTAGGTAACGTTTCGGGAGGCGGAAGCGGCGATGAGAGCATGCGTGGATGCCTCACCAGTGATTGATGGGAGAAGGGCCAACTGCAATCTTGCTTCTTTGGGTGTTCAAAGATCTAAGCCAAACACTCCTAATAAACATCCTGCTGCTGCCGCAGGTATATCTATCTATCTATTTACATATACATTTCGTTTTTCCTTATTTAGCCACACCACTTCAATAGTTCAATTCCATCCATCTTTTCTGTGCACTATATTTATTCTCAACTTGTAACCAACTACTCCGTATATAATACCACTTGCGCACTTATTTAGCCAGCACTGCAAACTAAGACTTTGTTTGCAATCACTTGTGCTCAAATAAAAGCACTTTTGGAAAAAAGTGATTAGTAGTAAAAGTTGGTAGTGTTTGGTAAAATAAGTGCTTTTTGTGTAATAGAAAAAGTAAAGAGTAGATTCTACACGAAAATCGAGATAGTAAAAGTTGGTAGTGTTTGGTAAAATAAGTGCTTTTTTCTTTAAAAAAAAAGCCAAAAACACTTATAAATAGAGTTTGCAAACAGAGCCTAAACTGGGTTGGTAAGGGGCCATGCCAAGCGCCACCACGTTTTTGTACACGCCAGCTAGCTGAATTATCTGCGACACAATAAAACAATTCTCTTCACAAACCAAATAAAATTGTCTGTGCATAACAATTTAGTATGTGTGTAAAATGATGTGTACAGATACGTGTACAAATAACATTTTCCAATTTCAAAAACCTTCAATTAATGGTGTGAGATATTCGAATAACAAAAAAAAATCAGAGATATGTTCTTAATTAATTACCTACTGCGTTAAAAAAATATACTCCGTGTGTGGTGTCCTTGATACCTTTTTCGCTGTTGCTGTTGATCAAGCTCATTGATGAGATGGATGATGGAGTATGCATGTAATACCTTGAGATGGCCAAAGTGCAAAAATAAGACTAAATACTCCGTATGTTTTATTTCTCAAATAGGGCTCATTTAGTCCTATTGAAAGAATAAATTGATTAGAATTTTCTAAAATAATGATAGTCTTATTTATAGGGAAAAGGATCAAATAAGCCCTTTTATAGGAAGATCTGTCTGGCCGTCGCCATTTGGGGCAATTCCCAGTGGAATTCTTTTTTGAAATTTTTTGGGCATCGTATTCATTAAGTCTAGTTTACGCATACCAAATTTCAGGTAACAATTCAATCGGGAAGGCATTCAAATGCATTCTTGAAGATAACTGCGCTTTTAACTACGCAGTTATCTTCAAGAATTCATTTGAATGCCTTCCCGATTGAAGTTTTAGCTGAAATTTGGTATGAGTAAACTAGACTTAATGAATAAGATGCTCAAAAAATTTCATCAAACATCTCCCCTTGGGAACCGCCCCAAATGACGACGGCCGGGCATAATCTCTTATATAAGGGCTTATTTTACCTTTTTATGTAAGTTCGAGGGTCTATCTGACATTTTTCCCTTTATTATATGGGCCGCACGCACGGATAAGACGTATGTATATTCGCAAACATGTGAAGTGTTTCTAAAGCTTCCTCAAATTAATTAATTAATTAAATTATTTAATGAAAGAATGACATGAGTATGACGTACACACTTTTACAAGACATAAATATGAGTAGTTTGAATTAGGACAAAAAAAAGAGATCAATTAAAAATAAAGAGACACAATTGCCCCTAAACACTAGGAACAACAGATCGTCCGTCTTTCCCAAACTCAACGTCACCATCGTCTCTGCATCCTCTCTCCAGGAGCACCAAATCGGTCAATCGGAACACCAAATCAGAACACAGGGCCGCTACACATCTCTCTCGGCGTCACTGTGGCGGCGTCACTGTGGTCGGTGTCACTATGACCGATGGCGGTCTTCGGCTAGCGGCATTCACCTCAGAGAGATGGTGGTGGATGTCACTATGTCCTCGTCACTTGTCATTGTAGCGTCTCATGCAATGTCACTATAGCATAACATTGTAGCAGTGGGTAAATTAGTAAGCTTATTAATTATTGGTCACATTTCTGGAAATTATGAAAAAGGGTCACTTTTTTGCCCATGCTCCATTTATTAGTAATATTGAGGTCAAAACCCCTTATTTAATTAATCAATAAGTTAGTTAAGAGTACGTTTACAAAAAACAAGTTAGTTAAGAGTACGTACACTAGCTAGCTGATCAAGTACAACTTTATAAAGAATAACATTTTTATCTGCATAATCTGTAATCTGTATCTTTCTTTACTAATAGATAGGACATGCACTGTCCAGTATCCATATAAGTGGCTAGACCTCCACCCATAAAGCTGGAATATACCACTCTCGGTCCCCTTACACTCGGATAAAATTGTGAACAAGTAAATTACAGTATAATGTTACACAATTTTTGAGTGAGGTAACTAGCTAGGCAGGATATTAGCTTGGGGGGCCAACCTAGGTTCCTGTCTACCCTAAATTACAAAAGTGTCTATATTTTTAAGGTAAAAAAATTCGTGTATTTTTTCTTTTAAGTATTATTTATACTGACCCATTGAGGCTCAGTGCCCTGACTCCACCTCTATAGCTAGGTATAATTTCCACACATAAAGATGAATAGCCCGCCCTCAGCGCCTCTACCGGCCTACACCCTGCGATCCGACAGAATTGTGGAAAAGTAATTATGATATCTTCTCAAATTAAACAGTTTTTGAATGAGATAAATAGCTAGCTATGATTTGGTTGGCATGGGGCGGGTCAAGAAGAAATAGTTTCTTTTAATTTCCAAGCTAGCTTTAGAACCATTCCATATGCATATGATGCTGGCCTGGCATGCTTGCAAGCTAGCATGAGCGACCATGTGCATGTCTTACAAAGACCAGGCAAAGACAGCTCATTTCTACTCATCTACCTCATGTGTACGTGACTCTCACACTTTTGCTTTTTCCCATTCAATCATTCACGTACCCTTTTTCTTTCAGCACAATCATTATTAATAGAGAATGTCACACATCAATACTACGTCCTCCCTCCGTCCCGTAAAGATGTTCCCGGTTTGACCTACACATATTTAGGAAATAAATTTGACTTTACTGTTTAGACACTGTTCGGCACTGTTTAGACACTGTTTGGCACTGTTTGACACTGTTTTGATGTAGGATAACTTTCCATTTAGGGAAAGGGGAACTTCTTTTTGAGACATCCAAAAAAGGAAAGCGGAAACATCTTTGCGGGACGGAGGGAGTATATAATACCCGTAACCTAATTTCCAAATAGTTTATAGAATAACTGTATATGGAGTTCCCCTTCGTCTCGCATTTATCTCCTAAAGTACAAATGACTAGTGAGGATTAAGATAGTGTACGTGTAATGTATGATAGAGAGTTGTGTACAGAAGAGAAAAACTGTTGTAAACCACAAATTCTTTGCTAAAAAGAAACAGAAATAGAAAGTTTGAAGATAATTTTGGGACAAAGACAATAATACTTATTGGATCATTTTTGCTATATACATAAGTTGTACACATTTTATGTACACACTCCTAGTTGTATGTGTACACAGGCAGCTTCTGAACTATTGCGAGGTACAATTCGAGGTGTGTATATAAAATGTATACAAATTATGTGTACAAACAATTTTTTCCATATTATTTATCATCTTAATTCTGTTTTTCTCTACAATTTAACATCGTTCAATATATTCCCTTGCATTATTTTTTTCAAAATACAATACATAAATATTTACATTTATAATTGTAAATGATGTTATGACAAATATTTTTACGAATAATTATAATTTGAAAATTTAAACATTCCGAGGTAGAAATAAATAAATTTGGATTTTAATTTTTATAGTTATTTTCTATCTTAACTGTTGCATTTATATTTGCCTAAATATAATTTGGACACAAATATTTCTAGCCGTTAATATTATTTATACTTCGTATGTTTTGTACTTTATATGTGCAGTATTAGTGCTATATGAAAGATTATAAAAAATTGTTGAAATATTTTTCAAAAAAATCAAGAAATACCTATGAAGGTTAAGACACTTTATAATTTTACCCCCCTTTTAATTTGTAAAACATTATGTTAAGCGAGAAATGATCCTGTCCAGCAGCCCCCGGTCCGAACAGTGTCCGAACATGGTCATTTGGGGCACTTCCCGGTGGAATTTTTTGATGAAATTTTTTGAGCATGTTCTTCATCAAGTCTAGTTTGTCCATACCAAATTTCAGATCAAAATTCGTTCGGGAAGGCATTCAAATCATTTTTTGAAGTTGACTGCGTCAAAATATACATATAAAAACGCAGTCAACTTCAAAAAATGATTTGAATGCCTTCCCGTACGAATTTTGAGCTGAAATTTGGTATGAACAAACTAGACTTGATGAAGAACATGCTCAAAAAATTTCATCAAAAAATTCCACCGGGGAGTGCCCCAAATGGCCATGTTTGGACACTGTTCGGACCGGGGGCTGCTGGACAGGATCATTCCTCTATGTTAAGCTTTAACACCTATGACTTTACAACTTGCAAGTTAATGATGGTAAAGTTTGGATAAGGATTTTAATTAGTATAAAGTAATACCATTGTTCTAAAAATTGGCCTATGCGGACCGATTAATCGGCCTAGGCGGCCTAGGCGGCCCTAACTGTAGAGTCCTAGTCGGCCGAAAAATCGGCCTAGTCGGCCGCCTAGGCGTTAGGCGCCCCTCTACCGCCCGACTAGCGCCTAGCGAGTTTTAGAACAATGAGTAATACTATGAAAATTATAAAATTTATACTTTTAATTTTTTTTTTACGAAAAAGAACATTTTATATCATTTTATATTCAAAATATTTTTTTAAAAATATACTCACTATAATTGAACAAAGTTGAACATGATTGACTAAAATTCAAAGATGGAGGACGGGAGTAAAGGAACTAGCTACGTGCTGGCCCCATCTTCTACTTTTCTCCTGCACTTGGATTGGTCCGCCCTTTCTTTTCCCTGCCATCGAGTATAATTTCTTCTTCTTCTTTTCTTTGGCATTGGGGTAATTACGGAGTATTCCTTATATTAATGGTGTATAAGTTCCCCTTGGGTGCTATATACTCGATACATATGCATCATATGGGGTACAATTATATTATTTCTATGTTGCACGCATCTATAGGTGAATAGATCCAATGACTTTCACTACAAAAAACACACGACATTAAAGAAATTTTTGGTAGAGATTCGCCAAAATCTATGGAGGATCGGATAGGGATATGCCAAATTTCTGCAAAAAACACTTTAGCATGAGCTATTTGGCACGATATCATCGATAAATATATGTCAAATCCGTGTCGATTAGAGGTAGCCTACCAATAAATTTTTTTTACCCCAAGAGGTAGCATGCCAGGCCAATAATTTATATATATATATATATATATATATATTTATATATATATATCAATATATATAGAGATAAATTACATATATATAAATCATATGCTTAAACTACATGCACTTATAACTGAGTTACTTCAACACAAAAAAGAACTATACTTACTTCATTTTTTGCTTTTATGGGGTAATATAATATTATTATGCATAATTAGTATTGTTATTTATATACTCCACATTATTTTTTGTGAGTGGCTGATTTATAAATGTATGTATATAATATATATAACTGAGCAGGTGGAGTGATGAATTACAGCGTAATGAATGGGTTTCAGGGAGGATTTGGAGCAACAACAACATTTGCATCAACCTTCCCTCATTACGCCATCCAACAAGGCCTCCCTTATAATCCTTATGGGTATGCCCACACACCACTCGCACATGACATGGATTCATATGCATGCATAAATGCATAATGCATTGTTACTTGAAGGGAAAAAGTGCAAATAGGTCCATGTACTAACAAAAAAAGATCAAATAAGCCCTTATTTAGGAGGCTTTGTCCGGCCGTCGCCATTTGGAGTGGTTCCCGGTGGAATTTTTTGATGAAACTTTTTGAGCATCTTATTCATTAAGTCTAGTTTACTCATACCAAATTTCAGCAAAAACTTCAATCGGGAAGGCATTCAAATGAATTCTTGACAATAACTGCGCAGTTAGAAGCGCAGTTATCTTCAAGAATTCATTTGAATGCCTTCCCGATTGAATTTTTAGTTGAAATTTGGTATGAGCAAACTAGACTTGATGAATAAGATGCTCAAAAAATTGCATTAAAAAATTCCACCGGGAACCACCCTAAATGACGACGGCCGGACAGAACTTCCTAAATAAGGGTTTATTTGACCTTTTTTGGTTAGTACATGGGCCTATTTGCACCTTTTCCCTTACTTGAATCTCAAGCCTCTAATTAAAGAGTTTTATGAGTTATGAAATGAGTACACATTTTGTACACTCGTCGGTCTCACGCACAAAAAATTGTCTGTTCACACACAATTCTAAGAATTGTCTGTGGACAAACAATTCTTTGTGTGGAGACAGACGAATTTAGAAAATGTATAATATTTTCCTAATTAAATTAAAGTCCATAGTCGTAGACTTCACATTCTAATGTCTCTTTTTTCGTTTGTGTCAGGTACTCTTCTTATTCGCCGGACTATACCTATCCCACGGTTTGTACATGCATCTATTCTCTACTCACTTTAAGTATACTCTTCTTCCCACAACACTTGCCAGATTTCCTTACTTTTATTTCCACAAGTTGTATCATTCAAATTTGAATTAATAAATACGTAGTACATTGAGTTATATTATTTCTCTTTTCATCAAAAATTTAAAGCACACAACCGGTCTCAGACTATCATCAGAGAGTACTCTGATCTGGAGTATATTTTTTGTTTCAATCAAAGAGAAATCACGACCGGTCTCATTTTTCTCAAGGCTTAAGGGGAAAAAATTGCAATAGATTTATTTTAATCATTACAAATTACTTCTTTTTAAAAAACTATAAGAAAAAATATGTATAAATTTATACGGGGTAATAAAGATAATAGTTACTTTCTAGCGAGACTATCACTTGTATATTTGAACAAAAACAAAATACTATTCCCTCCGTCTAGAATTATCTTCCAAATGTTTTTTAAGTTCGTGCCAAAATACTATTCCCTCACTTATATATTCTTTTTTATTCTTGGAATGAAGAATCATTGACTTTAATTTTACTTTTCTTTCTCTTGAATGTTACATAGTTGAGTGCATGATTGTGGTTTTGACTAGTCAATATAGCAACCGCCCAAATGTAAAACAAAAATGGACTCGGTATCCCATTATTATTACGTTACGTTAATGGAAAGAGTGGGTGCGTGACCTTTTTTGCTTTCCAGATTTACTTTTTTCTTTCTACGTTTTCAAAATTGAAGACTGTCCCTCTTATTCATTGTGATTCAATTCCTGTTACAAACCTTCAGACCGGCCATCTCAATATAAACTTCAAAAATTCACAATATAAAACAAATGTTCGCATTTCATCCATTCAGCTTTAATAGTCATTGTTATTCACTTTTTGATCACTTTTTCATGAATAATAAAATTTTATAATACTCCTTTCAATTCAGGTCTTAAATTGATAAAATTCTTTAATTAACTAGGAACTATTTGCATTACAATTTACTATAGTGCTCTACCACAAACTACAATAAAAAATAGAAAAAATTGAGAAGAACAATCTCACCTTTCACTGGTCTTCTCATAATAATCTCATCTTTAAATAATTTCAAAATAATCTCACCTTTACACCTCATCTTCTTCATTGGACTCTGACCATGTTTTTTACCTTTTTTAAAAATCTTATATAAATAATCTCACATTTATAAGTATATAATTAAAAAGTGAAAGGTGAGATTATTTGTATAATTTTCAAAGAAAGAGTAAAAAACATGGTCAGGGTCCAATAAAAGAAGACGAGGTGCAAAGGTGAGATTATTTGAAGGTGGGATTATTATGAGAATATCAGTGAAAGGTGGGGTTATTCTTGTCAATTTTTCCTAAAAAGTATCTAAGTATTTCCCCCCAAATATTATTATTATTACAGTATGATATATGTGTGTGCGCGCGCCTGTGTAGAGTTACTACGGGATGTACGCTGCTGGGGCGACGGCAGGGCAGTATCAATTGTACGGAAGTGGGACGAATGGAATGGTATCTGCGGCTGCCTTCTACCCTTACCTAAATTTCGGCGACGGAAGCGGCGGAGCAACCACCGGTGGCTACACCGCCACTGCAGGCCAGCCCTACGGTGTACAGTACCCACACCACCTGTTTCAATACTCCGCTGCCATGAGCACCACCGCCGGGTACCCTGCACATCACTACGCCACCCCCATCTCTCTGGCGCACACGCCTCCACTCCAATCAGGTTTGTACCTAATAACTACTTGATTATATGTCTCTACAGAAAATCGTCTTCATAGGGAGGGCTCAAATAACAATATATTTTTCGCAAAATGACTGCATGTAACATAAGAATGTCCTTTTAGAGTGTTCAAATTTAAAGTCCTTTAAACAGTTCATAGTAATATTGAAACAAAACATTTTTGTTTTGGAATTCAATGTAGCTATAAGTTGATGTTTTGGAAGAACTTAGCTTTTTTAAAATACGAAAACTATATCATCTTAAATCCTACAATTGATACCATTTTTACTGTTATTCTCACAGACATAAGGATAAATACTCACAAATATGACTCATCTCGATCATTTATGTGAGTGTTTGTGCGTGTGAGTGTGAGAACATAAATATATGGTGCCTAAAGTGATCGATAATATGTCCGATTGTCCGAAGCAATGTTCGCATTTTTCACATGAAAAATGTTTTGTGGTGTGGGAAAATGTTTTGTAGCAATGATTAATGCCCTATAGTAAAATTATTAAATTTGAATGTGTACTTGAGCTGCTAGGTAGAATAATTAATGCATGTTTTTAAAATAACAACTGTCAATGGTGCTAAATTTTCTTGATAGTTTGTTGTTTTGTTGTGCCGCAGGCGTGAAGATGGCGACCGCTGCATTACGGACACCAATTCCTCCACACCGTTAAGTTAGAGATGCATTCATTCATTGAAGCTAGGCTAAGGTAAGGGGAAACGTGCGCACGCGTGCAAGCCAAAACGTGCGCACGCGCACCGTATCATAAGTAGTACGATGGAGTTGAGTTGAAATGGTGAATGGAGATCAATCGACTCAATGTCTTTCGTATATCTAGCTAGCTACCACCTTTGCTAGGCTAGTAGCTACTGTTCACCAGCAGCAGCAGCAGGGCGTGATGTGATCTGACATCTACGCTTCTCACCCGATGCTCGGCCCAAATATGGCATTTGATCGAGCTACAGACCTTCATTCTCCGCATATTGATTGGGTTGGGTCGAGTACAAGGTGCGTAAGACCCGCCCACATATGCTCCACCTTGTCACCTTCTTATCTCTTGCAAGGGAATATGGATTCTTTCAAGAGACACAGAAGCTACAATTATTACATATAGATCTAGATATACAAGCTACTTACTCCCATGAAAATCACGTGTTAGTAGCATTCCTTTGTCCTTAATTAGCCTCGGATAGGCTAATTATATTTCATCACTATAGCCATTTAGGAAATCAAACCCTTTTTTGAATCATAACTTAGGTTATTGAATCTTCAAATTCCCGTGCCTCAAGGAATTTTATTAATGGTTAATAGGATTCCATTGGGACATGACAAACATGCATTTATTTGTATTAGCAGGGACTTGTCATTAATGTTACATGTTTAATTATGTAATTATTTGTTACGTATTTGCCAATAGCAACATATGCAATAAGAGGATTCGTTCTCCAACTGTTGATTGAGAATGAGTGGATCTTTCTGTTAAAAATATAGGGGTGCTCGCAATTGATTATGTTTCTGTTTTTTTCTAAACAAATTATAATCAGAATAAGTTTTTCAGAAGTTAGTCTCATCTGCTACTAAAAACAGCTTCTAAAAGCAATTTGGATCACTTAAAAAAAAAAATTGCTTCTAAAAAAGTGGTGCTAAAATACTTTTGCACTTTAAAGAGGCATGGTAGATTCTCCAGCAAGAGCTTCAAGGGAACGAGAAGGTAATATCCATCAAACTTAAAACAACTTGGAATTTTTTTGATAACTTATCAATGAAGGATGATGGATCAGTTTTTAGATTATTTCTCAAGATCAACCAACATAGTAAATCAAATTAAAAGTTATGAATAAAACATCCCAGAGAAGAGAATCATTGAGAAAATTCTAAGATGTTTAACATCTAAATTTGATCACATAGTTGTTGCCATTGAAGAATCCAAAGGCCTATCAAAGCTCTCAATGTTTGATTTGATGGGTTCACTTGAAGCTCATGAAAAAAGAACACAAAGGTCAACAAGTCAGCCTCTGGAGCAGGCATTTCAGTCCCAAGTTAATCTCTCTAAAGAAAATTATTCATATGAAGTGAGGAGGTGATTTCATAAGGAGTGCAGCTAGTAAGAAGCAATCGTGAGTATAATGTTTTCTCGCATAGCAGAGGTAGAGGGAGAGGAAAAGTCACAACAAAGACAAGGAAGTAGCCCACAGAAAAAAGCCCGGTCATGAGTCATCCAAGTGTCAGTATAGGTGCAAAAAATGCAGAATTCCAAATCATTCTTAGCAAGATTGTTGGCATCAAGGAGAAGGAAATCAAGTGTTCTACACTTGCTTGAATGTCGAAGAAAATTCAAGCAAGAAGTGGTTTATATGCAGTGGATGTAGCAATCACATGACGGGAGACAATTAAATACATCTTTACTAAGCTTGATACAAGCGTTAAAACTCGAGTGACTCTTGGAGTTGGGAAATCAAAAAAAGTTAAAGGCAAAGGAAAAAGTTTCTCTAGTATCAAAAGATGGAAACCACAAGAGCATCACTGACGTTCTCTATGTACCACGTCTTGCTCACAATCTTATAGGTGTTGGGCAACTGGCCGGTGCAAAAGGGTTACAAAGTGGTCTTTGATAATGGTGCATGTGAGATCACTGATAAGAAAACAAATGCCATTATCGCAAGAGCTGCAATGACTCAAAATAAAGTATGTCCTCTTGATATCTCTACTTGTAACAAGGTTGCGCTGAGTAGTGAAGTTAATGATGAATCTCATCTTTGGCATTTGAGATATGGCCATCTACATCAGAACGGGATACAGTTGCTCAAAGAGAAAGAAATTGTAATTGGACTTTCAGAAATTAAAGGGCAAAGAGATGTATGTGAAGGCTGCGTGTATGGCAAGATGCATAGGCTACCATTCCTTAAGACAACTTGGAGGGAAAAAGTGCCATTAGAGTTGGTGCATGCTGAAATTTTCGGTCCAACAAGAACTCCCTCCCTTGGTAATAAAAGATATTTCCTTTTATTTGTGGATGATTACACTTGTATGATGTGGATTTATTTTTGTTAATAAAAATCAGATGCCTTTAGTGTATTTTTGCAACTAAAAGCTCTTGTTGAAAGGCACAGTGGCTTCGTGATGAAGAAGCTCAGAAGTGACCGTGGTGGAGGGTTAATCTGCAAACCCTTCATGGAGTATTGTAGAAAAGAAATCATTCTAAGACAACTTACTATTCACTACAGCCCTCAACAAAATAGAGTCGCTAAGAGAAAAAACGGAACAATTATTAAGATGGTCAAGAGTATGTTAAAGGGTAAAAGCCTCCCCCAATAACATATGGGCAGAAGCTGTCTATACTGCAAATCTATATCTTAAACCACTCTCCAACGAAGTCCGTTCGCAACAAAACTCCTTTGAAGCTTGGAGAGGGAAGAAACCAGTTGTGGGTCATTTTAAAGTATTTGGGAGCACAACATGTGCATTGAACCAATTCCCAAACAAAGACAAATTTGATAAAAGGGGTGAGAAGCTATTGTTTGTTGGCTACAGTGAGGAATCTAAAGGTTACATGCTCTTGAACCGAGAGAATAAGAAAATTATTATTTCGAGTGACATCATTTTTGAAGAAACTACAACTTGAACATGGAGAGAGAATAAAAACTCCCTACAGTCGCTATATATACAAAAGGGGGACATATGTTTGAGAAGTTTAAGGAACAATTGAATATTTCAAATTAAAAGGGGATTTGTGGGATAATTTGAAATTTCAGCAAGTACTCTATTCCGGAAAATGCTAGAAATTCCAGAGTATTCTAAGACAAGAAACGAACACCTCATGCTGAGTTGATCGTTTCGCTAATCATACGCAAGCTTTAAAGATAAATTAGGCTCTCAGAGTCTTAATGATTTTAACTAGTTTAATAAAACATAAACCACTCAACTTTGCCAAGTTGATGGTGGGGGAAAATTAGAATAGTAAAAACTGTGTGGTTAAGGTTTGTGTAGAGAATAGAGAAATGAACAAATTACAAATTCTTTTCCTTTTTTTATTCATCAATTACATATTTTTTAAGTACAATGCGAGAATAAAAACAAAAGCAGTACAAAGAAAAAAAATAAAATAAAGGAAAACAGAAAACTAGTCCCAAGGAAAATCTTTGAATTGTGATCTAGTCGTCATGTTGTGACGCCTTTTGTTCTTTTGCGTTTTTCTGTAAATCTTGAGTTGTGTGTTTAAGTTGTCTGTTGGGAGATAATTTTCCGATGTGACGAATTTTGCTTTGCGGCAAATAGCCCTGTTGAGTTTGGATTTTTTAATTTCTCCCGGGTAGGAGATAGGAGGACGACGATCGCTTTCAAATGCGCGTCCAAGAAAGTCATCTCTGAAGAAAGAATCATCATAACGTTGAAAACTAGCTGAGGCGTCTGAGTAAGCCTAAATCGATGGCAATTGTTTCCTGGGAGAGAAAACATGTTGGTTCTCGATACTCGCCGCCTGGATTTGATGATTTAAAATCAGTTTAGAGATGGATGTGTTGTCCTCGGTTTCATAGGTGCTCCTGTATTGTAAGGAGATTGAGACGTCCTGCGCAGACTCCGGTTGCCCTGAACAGAACCACAAATTCATTCATTTAAAAGGAAAGTTGCAAAAAAAATTTGAGACAAACAAAAAAAGGAAAGTTCGCTTTGTATACAAACTCTCAAGATTGTCGCTAGATTACCTAGACACAGTTGTCTTTGCGTAAAAAAAAAAAGGTCAGTGCCATGGAGGAAAATGATAAGCTTTTGGGTTGATCATCATTTTTCTTATTGCATATCCATAAGTAGACGTTTAACATTCACTTAAATGTTTGCTGATAAAAGTCTATATTATTTAACTAATATTCAAACATGCAAGGCATGTAATATAAAAAACACTTACAATTCAATTTTGTACAATAAATAATCACAAAATCTTTGCGATTTTTTTGTGAAGCTTGAAAAGACATAAAATAAGACCGTTGTCATCTAATTTAAGTATAATTTTATCAAGGTTTTTGGGATCCTATGCTCCTTTGTTGTTCATTTTATTTAACAATTTTACTAGTTTCTTTTTAATAAGTTTAAAATTGCCTTTTGGTTCCTTTTTAATTAGCAATTGTAGTTCCTTTTAACTAACAATTTTACCAGTGACATTTTTTGTTAAGGTTGTATGATCTTTTATGTATGCATAGGAATTGTAAAAAGAGTTTGAGTAGTGTCTCATAGGTGTGAGTGAGAAACCTTCTAGAGTATTCACCAATTTACTACTCCCTCTGTCCCGGAATTAAGTTCAAACTTTCCTTTTTCGGATGTCACAAACATGTTCTTACTTCCTTATTTGGCAAACAAATCTGCATCAAAATAGTGCGAAACAGTGCTAAGATAGTGCAAAACAGTGCCAAACAGTTCAAAACAGTGTACTCCACAGTAAAGTCAAATTTATTTACTTAATATGTATGAAGTCAAAGATGAACTTAATTAAGAACCGGAGGTAGTATATATAGCATTACTCCATAATGAAACCTAATAAGGGGGCATTTTGATCTACTTCTAAAAACTGTTACGGTTACTTCAAAGTTCAGAAGCAGGTATTGAAGGATTTGTAGAAGTACTTCTGGGTGCTCCAAATTGCTTCTACAAGCATTTTTATAGAAGTTATAGGAGACCAGTTTCTGAAAAACTGATTTCGATTATGATTCTACTTTTTAAAAAAAGAAGAAAACGCGGAATCAATTCTAAACGCCCCCTGCAATTAAAAGCTTTTTTGGTACTAGTAGTGAGATTAGTTGAATCGATTGAATTTTTTTACCCCGGGGGGTGTCGAGGGGAGGGTGTCTGGAGCCTGGGGTAAGTTGAGCTCAAACTCCCTCCATGGAGTATTGAACATGGGACCTCCCACAAGGGAGAGTGAGTCAGGGACCAGCTGAGCTAAATTGCTTCCTCGTTGAATCGATTGAACCTATTGAAATTTATGAATTTCTAATTGAAGCAGTTAAAGCGCTTGAACTGAATGAATTATAAAAAAAATATTAAATTTTGTTAATATAAAAATTTATATTTTATTAATATCTTATATAAAATTTAATTTTTTATTAATATAAAATTTATATTTTATATAATAATTAGAATCAATGCAAACACTCTCTAAATGTTGGAATAACTATTTACGGAATGAGGAAACAAATTATTCAAAACACACACCCCTTGTGCACATAGAATTTTGTGATGAACTGGACTGATAACATACTCGTAATAAATCTATGATGAAATGGACATGTAGTATACACATACACTATATATTAGCATCTTAAAAATCAATTTATACTCGATCGGGGATTATTTTAATAATTTATTTTCTGCTGGTAGTGGCGGTTCGGAGTTTGTTTATGGTTGTGTAAATTGTTGCATTGACGATGTCCACAACAATAGTTTGCTTGGATCCAT